AGTGAGCGCCGAGCGGCCGAGAAACAAGATGGCGGCAGGGCCGTGAGGCGTCGGGGCGGAGGCTCCGCCCTTTTTTGTCCCCCCCCCCCTTCCCCTCCTCGGGCTGGGCCGCGGCGGCGCGCGCGGGCGCGTGACCCAGCAGGGATCTCGCGAGATTTGCGGGGAGGCGGGAACGTGAGGGACCGGGACGTGCCGTGAGGGACCGGGACAGTCTGGGAGTGGTCTGAGGGGTGACCGTGCCTTGAGGGGCTGCCAAATTCTGTCTCTGGCATAGATCTGCCCTGTCCTAAACCCCCGCGTGTCCACCTCTAGGCCTCTTGTGGGGAACCTTCCAATGTTTTTCTTGCTTTATAAATAAAAAGCAGAAATGCTGCGATATTTTTCAAGTTTGCTTCTCTGTCAAGTATCCTCGTAATAAATTGTGTGGTAAATAAATCCGTTAGAGATGCTGGATAAAAATGCTTAGGGTATGATGAGTTGAAATGTACTTTTCTCCACACCGGGATTTGGCAATTTCTGGGAACTTTTTTAATAGGAGTTCGTTTGAAGTGCAATTTAAACACATGCAGTGTTCCTGAGTTGACTCACTCCCAGAGTCCCATTATGTAGCTCAACTATATCTGCCCACAAAAGAAGAAAAAGAACTGTTTTACATATCTGGGAGACCACAGAGTTCTGATTGTTCACATTGTGGGAGAAAAATATTCCTGAAATTGATTTAAATAGATAAAGGAATAAAAGATCCTTTTTTTTCTCAGAGTGGAGACTGGAAGCAGCTGATAATCAGAAGAAAAACCCAAGAGCAGCCCTAAAGGAAGGGGAAGCAAAGGCTGCCTTGACATTCCCCTCAAACCCATCAGTTCTGGAACAACATCCAACGGGAGTAACGAGGAAAAATAGGAAAAGTTTGTATTTTCATGGGGGGTGGATTTCTACACCTTTTAAGCTTTTCCTTGAAGCCACAGAGGGCTGGAGCTCCACCAGGAGCTGCTGCCTTATTCCCAGCCCCTCATCTGGGAATTGCCATCTCCTTTCCTGCAGGGATCCCATCCCAAAGATTCTCCAGGTGCCTGCCTGGATCCTCCAAGATCCCTTCCCCATGTGACAGTTTCATCCTGTGGATCCTCACAATTCCATGGAGGAACCTAAGGAATTTATTCCCACCCCTGGATGGATTTCTGTTATTATCCATGGTAGGAGTCTCAGGAATCTTTGGAATTCTGCTTTAATAGATTAATTATATCAATTAATAGATCAGCAGTTTTCTATTGGAATTTTTTGCATTTCCAACAGATTTTTTTTGCCTTTCTGTACATCCATTTAACAACAACTCTGCTCCACCAGAATATCCCTGGCAGTGCAATCCCAGGGATCATCCAGGGACGTTCCTGGCTGCTCCCTCAGCACAGGAAGATTTTCTCCTGCCATCCTGGAGCTTCTTCAAGCCAAAGTCTGTGCCCTGCTCCTGCCAGCTCTCCCAGTTCCCAGCTTTCCAGGACACACTGAGGGGTGACTCATGCTGCCTCAGGATTTTTCCCATGAAAAAATTCCTTTTTCCTTAGGAGTGACTCCATCTTTTTGCCTCCTCACTGTCCTTCTGGTGGCCCAATTTGCAGCCTGGCCAAGTTTCTTTTTTTAATATCGTTTTTAATATCATTGTTCAGGTTATAAAAATAATTCCCTTGAAATATTGTTTGGGATGAGAAAAGAAAGTGGGATCCCACAGGGCTGCTACACTTCCAGTCACCCTTCCCAAAATTGGTGGCTGGGTCAGCCCTGCCGGAGGACAAAATCCCATTCCTGCAAGCACAGGGATTTGGGATTTGTGGGTTTTGTGGAAGAAATGGAGGAAATGGGACACATTTCTGTGTCCTCTGTGGGTTGGGAGCTCGGCTGCCCTGGTGGCTCCGTGCTGGCACCGGAGCGGGAAATGTCTTGCAGCAAAATTCCTGCAGTTTTATTGGAAGTCTTGAGACTCAGGGCACTTGCAAGGCAGCCAAGAGAAATAAAAGTCGGGATCATGGAGTGATTTGGGTTGGAAGGACATTCAGGATCATCCAATTCCACCTCCTTCCCACTATCCCAGCTCGCTCCAACCTGGAATTGAATACTTCCCAGGATGGGGCAGCCACAGCTTCCCTGGGAAATCCATTCCCCACCCTCACGGCTGCTCCAGTTTGGGGTTGTTTTTTTTTAATTCCCGAATTTCTCAGCTGTTTCCTTCTGTTTCAGCACCGAGGACGACGATCCATCCCCACAATTCCCTGGAAAACGCCCCATTTATTAATTAATTACCGAGCACTGTTGCTCCTGCTGCCAGGCCCAGCTGTCCCAGCACCCAGCTTGGATGCAGCTCCTCTCCAGGGATTTCTGGACAATCCCCCCTTGCTCCTCCTCCCGCCGGATCCTTTTGTGCGGCTCCGTTTCCTCCCCACCTGCTCCCTTTTCCAGCCGCAATGGATCCATTGTCTGGAGCTGCTCGGCTTTTCCCACAGGGATTGCAGCTCCACAGAGCTCCCTGTCAGCCTGCCCGGAACGTGGAGGAGCCAAGGAAAACATGAAACAGGGAAGGGAAGAAAAAAAAAAGGAAAGGAGAAAGTGCTTTTACAGGAATTTGGTGGTGCTTTGATGAGTTTGGACTTACCCAGCACCTTGCAACTGCTCATCCCAAACCTCCCATGCTTCCCAGTGCACCCCAGACCTAGATTTGGGAGCCAAGGATTCGTCTGGCACCAAGGAAAATCAGCTCAGAGCAGCAGAGACAAGGCTGACCCTTCCCAGCTCAGCCCCTGCCATCCCCTGGGATTCCTGTTTCAGCAGGACTCTGGATTTATCCCAAACCAGCTGTTGCTTTGGGGCAATAATCCACAGGCACGGGAAAACCTGGATATAAATTCTTTCTGGACATGGACACACTTGCTTTATGGATCTGCAGGAAAAAGAGGCCATTTAGGGCCAGATTTTGGGGCCTGACCCTTTGTGCCACATCCCACCTGGTGCCTCTCCTAGCTGGGATGATCCATATGGTATTAAAGGATATCTAAGGATATTTAGGAATATGTCTATGCCTGGACACTGATTTGTTTAAACCTTCTGCTTTGAAATTAAACCCCTGGGAATATATTTTGACCTTTGGGTGTTCCCAAAGGATTCCTTGAGGGCCCACAATTCCTGAGGGATGATCCAGGATCAACTGTGGGCTTGTGGGTCCCCTTTTGTGCTCAGGTTTGAACCTGTGTGCCAGGAAATTTTACTTTTTCTGATCCAGATGGGAATTCCCAAGGGAATCCTGGTCTCCCTCATTTTCCCAGCCCTCATTTCCTAAGGAAGAGCTGACAGAAATCAGGAAAACCCCACAAAACTTTAGGATCAGCACTGGGAGCTGAGGTGCTCAGCCTGGTGATGACTGGGAGGCCTCATTCCCAATATTCCCACTCTGCTGGCAGAGGGGAGAGGATTTCCCAGGAATGCACCTCCTGCCCAGTTCAGCCCCCTGGCTGTCCCAGTATCCAGCTGGTGAGCTCTGGCGACCTGATTGCTCCTGCCAGGAGATTTCCAGTGTCTCCACACAACTCCTGCTCCTGCCAGAACTGGGACACGCCTCTGGCAGGGAGAAGGGAAGGAGCTGACCCAGCTCCAGCAGCTCATCCTGCTGGGCACTTCCAGAGGGGCCAGGGCTCATCTCACAGCCAGGACAGGGACTGGCACCTTCCTAGAGCAGGGTTATTCCAGGGAATCCCCACTGGGATTCCCAATCCTGCCATAAACCAGCCCCTTTCCATAACCCTTCTCCAGATGCAGCTTCTTCTTCCCTGAATGCAGTTCCAGGACTTCCAGAGCAGCCTCAGAGCCTCCAGGACAGCCCCAGGAGCACCCTGGGAAGCTCCAGGATCCTTCTGGGAAGCCTCAGTCCTCTGGAAATCTCCAGGACACTATTGGGAATCCCCAGCATCCTCCTGGGAAGCCCCAGGAAGCCCCAGGACAGCTTCAGTATCCTTCTGAGAAATATCAGTCCTCTGGAAAACTCCAGGACCCTCCTGGGAAGCCGCAGAATTTCCTGGGAAGCCTCAGGGCAGCTCCAGGACTTCCCAGAGCAGCCCCAGAGCCCCAGCATTCCCACCCTTTCCCTGTGTCTCCATCCCCATTCCCTCCCCCTCTCTCCAGCACCAGCAGGATCCACTCCATGGGCAGTTTTCCACCCTATCCTAGGGAATGGCAGCATGTGGCAGATTCCAGGGTCACCCTCACGGGGACAGCTCTCCCATGCTTCCCCACATCCAGCAGGATCATCCCTATCCACACCCTGCAGCCGAGCCCCGGGAATCCTCTTAAGGGAGTTTTACCGGGATAATCGCGTTAAGCCACCCCCGTGGTGCCAGCACAAACCCAGGAGGGAAAGGAGAAGGTGCCCAGGAGCCAGCAAAGCCGAGCTCCTTAAGGAATTAAGAGACATCGGAGATGGGAGAGCTCTGATAGGATCTCAGGACAAGGCCAAGGCTTGGAGTTTGTCCATCCAGGGAAGCAATTCCCAGGAAATTGGTGCACCACAGCCCCAGCCTGGAATCTGCAGCACCAAATCCTTCCCAGTGTGAGGTTGGTGATCCCAGAAAATCCAAAGGAAGCAAAAGAGCTTCCAGTGGAACTGAGAAATCCATTGCCATGAAACTTCCTATCATCAGAAAGCAGCTGGAAAAAAAAATCCTTCAGAGAATCTTTTAGGGGTGTTGTTTTCATTATCTCTTCCCTCCAACAATGGGTTCCCAGGAGTGGCACTTTCTCCATAAAGCTAGAAATTTCATGGAATAGCCTTCCCTGCCGGGAGAATTCCAGCTGGTTTTCCAAACTCTTCCTCACCAAGGCCCCGCTGGACAACCTCCCTCTTCCCTGAGTTTGTTTATATGCTTTGAATCCCATTAGGAAACCATCTCCCTCCTTCAGCGCTGGTTTATCCAAGTTTCCATATTTAGTTCTTTCAGCTATTCCTGTTCCTGAACCAGCTTTCCTGCCGGGACCTGCTGCATCCCAGTTTTTCCCTCCAGCAGCTGCCACGGGGAGAATTATCCCACATCCTCCCTGCACTGATGGATGCTTGTGCTCACTGACCTACCCCGATCCCAAATGGCTCCCAGGCCCTAATCCCGGGGTTGGGAACGCCGGGTGGTTCCGTGCAGTCCGAGGTGCCGTCCCATGGGATGGGGAGATGGGAATCGCGGGATTTTAGGGAGGGACAGAGTTAAAGGCGGGGAAGGAGGCTTTCCTCCTGGCACGTGGCTCCATGTCAGCCGGCAGAGGCAACGCAGGGAAAGCGCAGGAGGAATTCACCGGGAGCAGGGAGACACTGCTTAGAGGGAAACCGGTGTTTGGATCCTGGCAGCCAAGGTGAGTCCAAGGGCAGCGCTGGAATCGCTGCCTCTCTGCCCAAATTTCCTCCTTCGCCAGGTTCCAGGGCAGCGGGGGTGTCCCCATGGTGTCCCTGTCCCCGCTCCAGCGGGATCGGAGCTGGGAGGTTTGTGCATCCCCAAAGCCCAGGCTGAGCGGGATCGGCTGTGGAGCTCCAGCTCAGCCCAGAGGCTTCCGAGGTCCCGGGGGTCTGCCTGGGGACTCTTGGGGTGCAGGTGACAGCAGTGGGGCTGGCAGCTGCTCTTAGGGTCCATGTGTGACAGGAGGGGCAGGTGGCAGCTCCAGAGACCAAGTGGTGACTGGAGGGTCCAGCTGGAGGATCTCGAGCTTCAGCTGGGGGGTTTGGGATCCGCCTGGGGGCTTTGGGGTTTGTTTGATGGGTGTAGGGTCCAGTTGTTTGGTGTAGGGTCCAACTGCAGGCTCTTGGGGTCCCACTGATGTCTGCAAAGTCCAATTGATGGGTGTAGGGTTCAACCTGAGGCTTTTGGGGTCCAGCTGATGGGCACTGGGTTCAACCTGAACACTTTTGGGGTTGGGTTAATGGATGTAGGGTCCAGTTGATGGGTATAGAGTGCAGCTGGAGGCTCTTGGGGTTCAACTGATGCCTGTAGGGTCTGATTGAAGGGTAAGGGTAACCCTAACCTGGTACTTCTTGGGGTTCATTTGCTGCGTGTAGGATCCATCTGGTACCCCTTGGGGTTGTAGGGTCCATCTGGTGGCTCCCAGGCTCCGGTTAATGGATCCAGACTCCAGCTGAAAGCTGTAAGGTCCAGCTGGGGATTTTTGGGGTCCAGCTGCTGGGTGTAGGATCCATTTGAAGGCTGTAGGGTCCAACTGGAGGCTCCTGGGGACCGGCCACTGCTTCGCTCATCCCTCAGGACCCACCTGATGGCTGCACGGTGCTGCCGCTGCCTTTTGGGGTTCGGCCGCCACCTCCCTTCGCGCAGCTCCCGGGCCGGTCCCTCGGGGGGTGCCGGTCCCTCTCCGCTCCGCCCGGGCCGGGCCGGGGCTCCCCCGCCCGACGCTCCC